TGTGTGTTTGTGTGTGTGTGTGTGTGTGTGTGTGTGTGTGTGTGTGTGTGTGTGTGTGTGTGTGTGTGTGTGTGTGTGTGTGTGTGTGGTACAAGATTAGCTATACTAAGTTATGAGGACTCATTGGTTCTCACACACAGTGCATCCAGTAGGTGTTGATAGCGCTTCACTTTTCCCACATGTGTTTATGTTACAGTCTTATTTCAGAATGGATTAACTTGATTGATTTCCTCAACATTCTACACACAATCCCCCATAATGACAATGCGGAAAAAGAGTTTTTGAAATTGCTGAAAATTTATAAACACAAAAAAGCTGATAAATCAGATGTACACCAGTATTCTCAGCCTTTGCTCAATACTCTGTTGATGCACCTTTGTCAGTGATTACAGCCTCAAGTCTTTCTGAATATGATGCACAAGCTCTGCACACCTGTCTTTGGGAGTGTTTGCTCATTCCTCTTTGCAGGACCTCTCAAACTCTATCAGGTTGGATGGGAAGTGACGGTGTACAGCCATTTTCAGATCTCTCCAGAGATGCTCAATAGGATTTAGGTCTGGGCTCTGGCTGGGCCATTCAAGCACATTCACCGAGTTGCTGTTGTGCCACTCCATTGATATTCTGGTGGTGTGCTTTGGGTCGTTGTCCTGCTGGAAGATGAAGCGTCGCCCCAGTCTGAGGTGGAGAGCACTCTTGTGCAGGTCTTCATTCAGGATGTCTCTGTACATCGCTGCATTCATCTTTCCCTCTATCCTGACTAGTCTTCCAGCTCCTGCTGCTGAAACACATCCCCACAGCATGATGCCAACACCACCATGCTGCACTGTAGCGATGCTGTTAGCCTGCTGATGAGCGCCGCCTGCTGTTCTCCACACGTAACGCCTGGCGTTCACTCCAAACAGTTCAGTTTGAGTCTCATCAGAGCAGAGAGTTTAGTTTCTGATGCTCTGAGAGTCCTTCAGATGGTAAACTCCAGGCGGGGAGTGTCTTCCGTCTGGCCGCTCTACCATACAGATGCCTGATTGGTGGATTGCTGCACAGATGGTTGTCCTTCTGTAAGGTTCTCCTCTCTCCACAGAAGAGCGCTGGAGCTCAGACAGAGTGATCATCAGGTTATTGATCACCTCCCTGACTAAGGCACTTCAGCCCCGATCGCTCAGCTTAGATGTCCGGCCAGCTCTAGGAAGAGTCCTGGTGGTTAAACATCTTCCACTGACGGATGATGGAGGCCGCTGTGCTCATTCTCTGAACTTTCAGAGCAGCAGAAATGTTTCTGTCACCTTCCCCAGCCTTGTACCTCCTTTCCTGGAGGTCTACAGACAATTCCTTTGTCTTCATGCTTGGTTTGTGCTTTGACATGCACTGTCAACCCTGGGACTATCAATACTTTCTGGATGCACTGGATATACTCCAGTTATGTGTTGAGAAATCTAGATGAGCAGTAGTGTTGATGTTTGACTGCTCCTCACTCATTAAACGTGCTTCATGATCCTCCAGCAGATGTGTTCATCAGTCTCTGATCATGTGCAGCTCTTTCTGTGAGGGTTGAGTTAGGGCTAGGCCGCATACACTATCGCTAACAGTGGAAGTCTATATATATATATATATCCTGAGTAAGTTACTGAAACGTGTGTGTGTGTGTGTGTGTGTGTGTGTGTGTGTGTGTGCACAGGTGTGTGGAGCTGGATTGCTGGGATGGTAAAGGTGAAGATCAGGAGCCCATCATCACTCACGGGAAGGCCATGTGCACCGACATCCTGTTCAAGGTGAGCACAAACACATCATGTGACTAAATAATGGTCATGTGACTGAATAATGGTCATGTGACTGAGATGGCTGTATTGCTGCACAGACCCCAGCTCCTGCATCACTGACGTGGGTGTCTGTCCTGTAGTTTACAGCAGATCATTGGAGCAGCAGAGTGAGATCAGCACATTGAGGTTGTCAGTAAAGCAGTGGTGTTTCTGCAGTGATGTTTGCTCAGCTTAATAAAGCAGAGTTAGCGTGTCTCACAGTATAGAGGGTTTCCATATGTGGACTAGAAACAAGTAGGAGGAGTGTGTTTAACCCGCGGGCCACAGGAGGCAGTGCAGCACTCTTCAGTGCTTCATGTCCAGTGTTATTTTCCTCACACTCCTCCACCATGGATCCTCACAGGTGCTCAATAGGGTTTAGGTTAGGACACGTGCTGGGCCAGTCCATCGGCTTCACCCTCATCTTCTTCATCAGTGCAGTGGTGTGTTTGGTGTTGTCATGTTGGTATTCTCAACCTGAAGACGGAACACACTCCACCAGCTGATGGGGGCGATGGGAATATACACAGATACGGGCCGGTCCAGGATTATGGAGACCTCAGGATAATGAGTGTTACAGTGTGAGCTTTCAGTGTTTTGCGTGTGTGTATTATGTGTGTGCTAATGCAGACAGGTGTGCGTTTAGTCCAGTTGAATCTGTTGACAGTGTGTGTGATGGGTGTGTGTTTGTGTTTGTGTTTCTAACAGGATGTAATTCAAGCCATAAGGGAAACGGCGTTCGTGACCTCTGAGTATCCCGTAATTCTGTCCTTTGAGAACCACTGCTGGTAAACCACTGTGTGTGCATGTGTGCGTGTGTATGTGTGTGTGTGTATGTGTGTTCACGCATGTGTGTGAGGGTGTGCGTGCTGTGTGTTAACCTGAATGCTCACTGCTGTATGTTTGTGTGTGTGTGTGTGTGTGTGTGTGTGTGTGTGTGTGTGTGTGTGTGTGTG